ACATGAGATAGCCATCAGAGAAACCACTCTGTTTCTCAACCAAGATATTGGATTGACAGGAGATCTGTCACCCAAAAGAAACCATTAAAACTGACAGGAATAAGAAATGTTTGTTCAATTGGCACCACAGAATCAAATAGATAAAAGAACAGGAATGCGTGTTTCAATGGTGGCTAGTAGCAGATGGAATCACAGCCATTTATATGAATGATACCATGTATTTGTCAATCACTTTCACAGTGCCAATTCCCATTGTGCCTTTGCTTTTGCAGCCTCTCCTACCAGAGGCATAAAAGTCTCTTTTTGAGAAAAGATCCCTGGAAATTTGCTATGGCAATAGATGGCTCACCCTGCTCCTTTTGTGAAGATGCTTGTGGCATAATACTGACCTGCAATGACAACAACTTTTGAGGATCATATACTTATTTCCTATACATATTTCAAGCTTTACAATGGAAATCTATAATGCTCAAAACTGTAGCATTAATCTCCTAGTGAATTTCCATCAATACCTTAATCATCGAGCATACACCTTATGGTGTACCATGGTATGGCTATGGTATACCAAACATCCATGAGCATCAGGCTATGGTACCTGCATAGCATCACAACTAACAAGAGTGAAGGAAATGCTACTTGTACCTCAGCTGATCTTGTAGCCTGTGTGGTTTGCAATATGCACTATGTCCCAAGTCAATATTTAGCACTACACAGGATAAATAGCTTTAATATCAGCCATAGGCTTAAAATAATTACCAAGGCAGAACAGGAAAAATGAAGGCCTAAAAGCAGTAACCACCTTTAGCTAATTCTCCTTCATAAATCAATAGATTTCCTCTAGGAAAATAAGCTCTTCAGATGAAAGGTCCTAAACAAGGTTTCAGCATTTGGGTCTAAGGCTCTACAATTATGGCACCTAGCCCAGTAATAGGCCAGCATGAAATGTCTTGCCTTAGTTAGCCATGAAATATAGGCAATAATTTCTGAACTTTTCTTGGTGTCAGTATGAACAACTTCTACCCACTGGTAATCCCTTCAATTACCAATTCATAACTGGTTCCCCAATTCCTTGCTTAAAGTAATGAACAATGAATGCATGCATTCCTGAAATTTCATTTTAATGGTCCACCAGGATGAGTGGAATTTGTGTTGCTGGCTGCCAAAAAAAAGTTTTGAAACTTAGCCATTCAAAGCTTAAAGTTTGCGCTGGGACACCATAAGTCAGTTCAGCCAATATTGACTTCCTGAGAGATTAGGTCCTCTGAAGCTAGCTATTTTAGGTCAAAGTGAGCCAATTAGTTACATAGTTAATTATACCTTCAGCACTCCCATTTTTGTACTTGTCCATTAATGCACCAAATCATTTGCTCACATGTTAACTGCAAAAACCTGGCCCTGCCCAGTGAATACAGAGGCATACAGCCTGCGGGTATCCTATACCATGGTCAATTTGTCAAATCTGTCAAGAGCGAGAAGAGCCACTGCATCAACACCTCATCTATTCTGATCATTCACTTGCCAGTAGCTAAAAGGTTGAACCACCCTCGAGGCTCATGCTGTTACGACCGGTTTCGTCTCGTCTGTGCCCCCATCGGATGAGAGAAACCAGTTGCACTTGATGCCAGTGTGCATGAAATGTAAAAATACTTCAACGCCTTCATTGATCAAAAACTGCTGGATGAGAACCCCTCAATAACCAGTGCATACACCAGGACTGAATTGAAATGCTGCTTGTATATATGTCCCCATGCCTCATTGATCATTTGAGTGGCCTGCCTTTAAACCCAACCGGGCATCATTTAATCCCTTGCACATGCAGGCATCTACAATTGATAACATCGCTCTAAATGACCTCTTACCAATCACTTACATGAAACGGAGAAAAATATAATTGAGGGTGAATGCTGAATCAATCTTTAAATACTTACACTTAAATACTTTAGTCTGATTATACAGACATTGCGTACCTAATTTATCAATACCTCAAAATTTCTCTCCCTGCTTGGCCGTCCACTTCTAGCGAAATGCATTCAGAAACCCATCCTTTCGATGAACACTGCGACGAACGTTGCATTTATTTTTGTTAAAAAATGTTCATTATGAAGTGTATGACCAATTATAGTCATTATTATCCGTGTCGTTGCCAACACCAAGGAGTGCGAGGAATATACATAAAATAACGATTTGCATGCTGCCAAACACTGCAAAATTTTGAAACACCAACAAAACCGTCTAAGTGCTCCAGCACCCGGGTTGAAAAATAAATATCCAATGATAATTTGGGTGATTGTGAAGTTGAAGTGTTGCGAGGTGGAATTCCAAGCATGGAGTCAGCCAAGCCCTTTGCGATCCAATCGCAACTGAACGGATTTAACTTCTCTATCAGGCTCATTGGGATGGGTCGGCCCGAGTACGTGTGCAATCCGTGCGTGCCGCCATACGCTCAGAAGGTTCTGCAGGGCCTCGTTGGGACTTGAATAGCAAACTTGTCGAGGCAAAGGAAGGATTCAAATAATCTTAATGTGACGCAGATTTATACAAATTTTTTAAATTTCAACCTGTCTGGCTTGCTCCTACACGAAATAGTTGCAGATCATTCCATGAAACTGAAATGACATGAACATCAAAGCAAAGTTTTCGATTTTCTGAGTTCATGAAGATCTACGATGTCTCTGCTCTTTTTGCTGATGCGGTTTCGGACTCTCAGATCATTCAACATTCACTTTTCCCTGCCACACGATGAAAGTTGAAAATTAAGATGAATGCTCGTGTCGGAGGAAAAACTTGGCAACCCTGCTTCTCAAGAACAAACATGGCGGCGCTCTTAATGACGTATTTTCGCACTAGCCGCGTTCTTTCCGGGTCAACTGTGTTGACACCTGGATTCATTAGGTTTTAGGGTTAGGCTGTTATATGGACACTGAAGCACTAAAGTCTTATTGCACACTTGGCCAGACTCCATGAAACCTGGAAAACGAAACTCCATTTTCATAGAATGTATGATTTTGTTCATGTGACTTTCCGAAGGTGTGTCTGTCTTGGACGATTACCCTTTGCATTCGCCTTTCAGCTCCGGATATCGCAGAAGTTGGATTTCGTGCTAATATTAGTTTCTATATTTTCTAAGTCGGCCTAACACTCCCTAACTTCTTGCCATTTAGCGAGCGTAGCACGTAAATCCAGTAACTTTTTGGGAAAGGTACGATGCTTGAGTGACAATGCGATATGTTAATGACCCTTTTTCACGGTGTTGTGTAATCTATTTCAGCTAACCCGAACCTTGAGATAAGTTTTGCGGATGGGGGCGGGGTTAAAGATATCCATAGACATGGAATATCAGAGTGCAAAAAAAAAAGGTTTTTGCCATTTTGAATAGGCTAATAAGTTTAATACAATTGGCAAACATGGAAGTACCTAATCCTTGAGACAGGCTTTGGTCTTCAAATTGTGAAGGTTTTTTGGGAATCTTGATGTTAAGTGATCACATCACAAGTTGTTTCATTCATTGGGGTTGTCACTTGTTTCTAAATTCCTTCGATAATTGAAAACAACAAATGAATCATGTTAGAAATTACTTATGACTTCGCCTCCATGTTTGAGAAATGTTGTAAATGCAGGTTGATGTAATACTATGCATAATGACTAAGTGACATTGGTGGGTTAATAGCTTGTGCTTGAGTCTGTCACAGGCCTAACTGTCATGTCTTCTCGCATGCAATTTGCATAACCAACCTGGTGGAAATCAATAGTAGCTAAATATAAATCTTCCTTGGAGTTGTCCATTGACTTGTGATGGGGAAGGCTGTGGCCAATTACCTTAATGTATAATTGTCCATAGCAGTCTGGAATGAGTTTGGGTTAGGCCTAGGCTCACATCATGGTACCAGAGTAGTGAAACTGGGTATTACGTGGGCAGTGGGATTTGTTCTCTTCCATGTCATGCATGCAATTGGTGTGGTACTGGGTCTCTCCTTATCCCTTTCCCTATCGTCTGATACATAAGCAGAAAAAGATAACCGCCTCTTAAGTGTCTAGTTTCTTGACCTGAATACTAACTATTGCAATTTTCAGTTCTGGCCTTCGTTTGGGTTTCTATCAGTATGTTTCCCTAGATGATTGTTTTGACTGATGTTAGTTGCTGTAAGTTGCTGGTTGATCTGTTTCAGGCCAAGGCTTATTGTATGGATGCTGATGGAGTAAGTACTTTGGATATAAGAAGAACTAGGAGGCTCTGTATCTTATTCAATGTTAAACTATCTTAATGCTTGAAGCTCTTGCCACCATTGTTCTAAATTTCCTGTGAATTCTGGCCGTGAATTCTCGTGCTTTCTCGTGCGATTCTTGATCTTTTCCTTTTCAGCATGCATAGTTTAACAGCTCCCAATTTTATAGGGAGATGGTGCTTAAGTTTGTTTGACTAAGAGCATGGTGCTGATATGTATCCACCAGCATAGGTATTTGGAATAGCCACTTGCTTGCTGCAAGTATATTTTATGGCTTGGTGTGTGAAAATAAGAGTTTGGTTTGAGCAGGGGTTGGGAGCCTATGGTTCATGAGCCAAATTTGCCTCACGAGCTGAAAAGTTTGACTCATTGAGTCATGGCTGAAAGTCATGGTTGTTTCTCATTTTTATCATGTATCAAAGAATGCATATGTCTGTTCCCAACTTCAGGAGAAATTCTATTGTTTGCTCACAAACACTTAGTTCAATCTGAATATGGCTCCTAGGTTAGAGCGAGTCAGTTGAGCTAATGGCCCAACAGTGAACAAATTTTAAGCAAGAAGGAAGCTTTGTTTCTAGGTGAACCCATGGATGCATCAAATATTATTATATAGGTGTTTGTCATCATTGTTTTGGGGTTAATGGTGTAGTTATCCTGTGTTATGCCTTTCAATCAACCTTCATAATAGGAAGACTCGATGATCTTTTTATCAGCAGGAAGTTTGTTGGACATACATTGGTGAGGTCCTAGTTGACCCACTCTGTTGGGTGACGCAGAATGTCAGACTTTCTCGAGAGGGAAGCCGAGGAGGATGACGAGGAGGACGATGACTTGGATGAAGAAGAGAAGAGGAAACTGAGGAAGCTAAAGAAGCTGAAGGATGAAAGTGAAGATGAGGAGGAAGATGAAGGCAAGTCAGACTGATGCATTGATGGATACTTTTAAAATGTGCAGACAGATGCAAGCTGACAGCTATGTTGAAAGCCCCATTTGCACAGAGCTCTCAGTTGGTTTAGGTGCTCAATCCAGTTAATAGGTGAAAGAGTTGTGGAGTTAGTGATTAAGATATTAATCTGATTCCTAATTGAGTGCTGTGATAGACTACCATGGTTTGGGCTTCACTTCCCACATATGAGGATTAGTGCTTTAGACTCATTGGCTTCCTTTACCTGAACTGATTTTTGCAGTATGCAAGGAAGTAAAGACTTACATTTGTTTGTTTCATTTCAACCCTGTGTTCCTTATCTTCAATGCCAGTCCCTGTTCCAATTGAGTCAACTCATCTTAGCATAAATTGAACATTTGTAGGAAAAAATAAATAAATTGAGTGAAATGTTTCCTTCTGAATGTTACTTTGATCTGATGGGAAAGAAAGTACAATAATAGAGATGTTATTTACTCCTGTTTTTTCATGAGCCCGTTCTCGATTAGTTTATCCAATGGGAAGAAGGTGCCATATGAATATAGAGATCCAAAAATTTGAATCAAGCCATACCACAAGATGTATTAAACTGACAGCCTGTGTAAACCAGCTTGCCTGATGATTTGCAGATGAGGAGCGCATGAAAGAGGAATTGAAGGATCTGATAGCAGACGATGATGAGGAAGAAGAGGAGGATGACAGCGACCAGGAAAGGCACAAGAGAAAACGGAAGAGAGGGAAAGAGAGTGACTATGATGACCGCCTGGAAGATGAAGATTACGATCTTCTAGAAGAGAATCTGGGCATCACATTGAAAAGGGTTTGTTGACTAGAAAGTGGATTCTATTAATAATAGACATCAGTCAAATCTGTGGAATTATTTGCTGCAATTTTAACAATGAAATGGATATATAAAATTAAAATGGATATAAACTGAAGATTGCTATTCTTCTGTCTATCAATAGCTCATCAAGACATTTGACATTATTGCATTTTAAGTTTTATTGGCATACCTTCACATTTAGAATTTATTGGTACTGTAAGATTCACTTTGCTTTTTTGGAAAAAAAAGTCATTTTTTTTTTCATTTTTCCATGGACAACATTCTTCTTCATTTAGTCAGGCCTGATTTAAGATTCAGCCCAAGAAGACTGAAAATGTTAAGTATTTCACTGGAAGAATGAGATGGTAAAGAATGAAGAAAAGTAGGATTTTGCACAAGAAGCTGAAGATTTAAATTGGGAGGGAGGTAAAGGGTACTAAGGTGCATGAATGCCTAATATCTTTTGAAAATTTTGACAATATGCCTCACAAATGCTTTGGAAGAAGAAATTGCTGTGACTGGTTTCAAGTAAGGAGTCTCTTTTTATCCATTACTGAGACAGGGTCACCCCCTATATCATGATTGGCATTCCATTAATGTATTTTAAATTTTGCAGAAGAAGGAGTTCCGTCGCATCCGTCGCCTGAGTGATGACGAGGAGGAGGAGGAGGAGGGCCAGGACCGGGAGGCCATCGCAAACGAGCTGTTTGAGGGGTCCGACGAGGAGCAGCCCCCATCCACTCACGACCACGTGCCAGTGATAGAGGAGGAAGCACGCGATGCCGAAGCGATCGGCTCCGATGCCGAGTACTCTGAGGATGACTTCATCGTGGGTGATGATGACCAGCCCATCCGGAGGAAGAAGAAGAAGCACATCTTCTCAGACCAGTGAGTTCTCTTACATTTGCCTAACTCATGATTGTATTCAAAAATTAATCTTTCTACGTGGCATTTGGGTGCAGATTTCCTCAAGGCTTCATGTCAATTGCATGTCAACCATGAAATGAAAAAGAAGCTTTCTGCCAGGAAGGAACAAACCAGATTTGTTTTCTTTCTTTTTCACTTGTACTAATAATGATGCTGACCCAGCAACAGGAAAATAATGCAGTTTTGAGAGGTGTTTATAGTTTATGGTCTCCTTCCATGAAAAGGAGACCATATTGGAAAATTGAGACACTTTTTTTTCTATTCAACTTTTGATTTATTTATTATTATTATGGCAATTGATCTGTTGCTCCAGTTCATGTTCTACTCTGCAGTCTGCACACAAGATACTTAGTGGTCTTTGGATTCTTTTCAAACTTGGTATTATTATGCCCAAACCTAGTCTTGACATAATTTGAATCTCAAATTTGTTTTCTTCTAGAGCCCTACAGGAAGCACAGGATATTTTTGGAGTGGAGTTTGACTATGAAGAGTTTGCAACATATGATGAAGCTGAGGAAGAGGAGGATGAGGAATATGAGGATGAAGAACGGGAAGGGCAGCGGTGAGTAAAGTCTAGCTTTTCAACTATGGAGTTTGTATTTTCTACTTGGCTCGATTTCCAACCCTCATTCCAGGCCTCGTCGAAAAGAGGTGCGAGTCCGAAAGACGCAGAAAAAATCCATCTATGAGGTGTATGAGCCGTCAGAGCTGGAGCGAAGCCACCTGACGGACTTCGACCAGGAGGTGCGAGCGACAGACATCCCGGAGCGGATGCAGCTCCGCTCCACCCCGGTGGTCAGCACCGAGAAGGGTGTTGAGGACAAGGAACTCGATGAGGAGGCCGAGTGGATCTATGACCAGGCTTTTGCTACCCCACCCCTCTCTTCTCAGGTTTCATTTGCTTCTTCATACTCTCTTAGTGATCAGGATTTTCTGCACATTTCCCTAAACCCTTCTCAAATTTCAAGAGAAATTCATGGATCCATGAATTCATTCAAGGATGCAATTGATTAAAAATAAAATGTATTCCCATCTGTTTAGTGAATGATGAGTACAATTGTGCCAAGACACACCAGAAGTTACCATAACTTAATGGACTGAATATGCTTCTTGTAGCTGAAGAGTATCAAAATTATGGAATAGCTTAAGTTTGAGCCTTTGAAAATTATGAGGACCAATGAGGTATCCCTTCATTAGTTACATTGCCAGAGAGCACTGTGGCTCCATTAGTGTGGAGCATTTGTTTTATGCAAGGCATCTTTTAGCCTATCATGAAAAACATCTATTTGACAAATATCTAAATGGTATTGTTTGATCCACAATCAGGAGCCCAATCGGGATGCCCGGCTGCGGAAAGGCCCCCAGACGAAAGTGAAGATCCGCAATGCCCTCGACTACATGCGCAACCAGCACCTGGAGGTCCCGTTCATCGTGGCCTACCGGCGGGAATACATCGAGCCTGACCTCAACGTGGAAGACCTCTGGACCATATACGGCTATGATGAGAAGGTAAGGATGCCTGTGATCATTTTTGGGTCTCTTATGCTTTGAAAGCTTCTAGGGTTCACAGAGACTTGTTAAAATTCTATTAAGTCATATTTTCCAGTTTGGATTGAGGCATTTCATCACCATGCCTTATGATTTATTGCAATTTTTGCGGTAGCTCTGCTCTAGTGTAATGTTTCTATTGCCTGCTTTAAGTTTATGAATGTTTTGCTCCTTCATACTTAATGATGAATTTCATTGGTTGAGAAATATAATGAAATTAACTCTTTCTGTCCTTGGGGGACTTCTGTGGGAAAGATGGAGGCATGTGCATTAATGAATTCTATTGCATTCCTGAGGAAAACTGCTGTCCCCTGAGTTTCTTGAGTGAATGTGTATTCCTGTTTATTGCTAAAACCTTTTTGCTTCAACTATAGTGAATTCCATACAGCTGGAGAGCTGTTTTAATCACCTTCATCCAATATGATTGCTAAGACTCCAGCAAAGACAAACAAGTGAAGATGAAACAATTTCCTATGCACTTTCTCTGTTCTGTTATTTTTGGTTATTAATTACCAATTATTAAAGCCTATAATTTATTTGAGATGTTTCTGGCACTCCCAGGAAGTCAGGATATTTAAATCTCTAATTTTCATGTTCATCCGTGCCCCTGATTGCCCCTTCCATCATCATAGTCACTGTCTCATTTCTGAATGCTTTGCAGTGGATGCAGCTGAAATCCCGTCGTGACAATCTGATTCGGCTGTTTGAGAAAATGATGGAGTACCAGGGAGACTTCATCATGCAGGACCCCGACGCCCCCCTGCCCGAGGGTGTCCGCATCATATCCGACGAGGATATCGAGAGGTCGGTCCTATTTAGATCCTTAGTGTGCATGTGGTATTTGCCATTTTTCTCTTTGTCCTTATTTACAGCCTGTAAAGCCTGCACAATCACAGACTAAGGAGAAAATTTGGAAATGCTCTTGCCTGTGATATGTTGGACTGAACTTAGATTGAAAGTTGATTTACTAAAGGGAGTCAATTGCTTGTGGAAGATTTTGAAGGAAGCTGAAGCTTTAGTATTGGCAGTCTTGGCTTTTCTGCCAGTGGCAGCTAGTGGATAGGAAGTAGATTATCTACACTCAGGATTTGGAAATTTAAAGGTTCAATTTGTGGAGTGGGGTTTGAGTCTTTCCTGTTGACTGAATTTGAGGAAGGTCCATTAATGTACTGAATCGATCTCAGGTGCATTCATTTCTGAACAGGAAGGAATTGGGAAATGTTCATTTCCATCCAATATATCTTGTATCTCATTTTTTATTTAATTGTTTATTATCAAGAGTATATAAAGAATATTTTAAAGAAACTATTCCTCAATTTGAAAAAAGAGCATGAAATGAGAATATCACCTCACTTCTGCACAGGTTGAGGCTGGTGAAGACAAGTGAAGAGTTGAAGGATGTGTACATGCACTTCATGCTCTATTATGCGCAAGACATCCCGCTGATGCAGGAGTCACTGCGGAAGAAGGAGCAGCAGCAGAAGAAGGAGGAGAAGGAGCGGGCCCGGGAGGAGCGGCGACAGCGGAAGAAGCAGCTGGCTGAAGGTCCTCATCCCATCCTTTGTCTTTCCCTTGTTGAATGCTTTGTGGTGATTTTTTGATTGGGGGGTCTGGCATTGAAGTTGGCTGAGCTTCTTATGTTAGGGCTTTTGGAACTTATATCTATGACATCAGCTTCATCTTTGGAAAAAAAATAAGTGCAACTTCCTTTTTTTAATGTCCCTATCCAGTAACATGTTAACCTTTTGTTTTCTTGTGTTTACCATCTCAGGTGAATTGTAAATATTTTGACTAGGTTTTAAAAATGTCTCCCAATGCTTAAAGTGCAAAAAAATTTTTAACTTCAATTTAGAAAATTGCAGAAAATGAGCACTGCTCATCTTTGGGTACATCTCTTTAGCACACTCTGCAATCATAATCCAGGTTGTAGATAGTGATAAATTGGTTTTAACCCTTTCAGCCCCAAATTAACATATATAAATGGTGTAAAAACAAAGTTTCCTCATTCAACTGTCTAGCACAGTGTCATTGACCACAAAAATACAAAATACAAAAAAAGTTACTGGGACTCAGAAGTTTCACCAGACCTCAAAGTTGTGCATTCCTATATAGCCCTCCAAAATAAATGAAAAAATGCAGGACTGAAGGGTTAAGGTGTGCTATGGTTGCATTGTCTTTTGGTGGATTTTTCTCAATTAATTCTTTTCCTTTTGCCTAACTTGATTCATCTCGTATCTTTTCCAACAAAAGAAAAAAAACCTACCCATTGGAAGGAAATCATATGAAGGCAGTCATTTCTGCACTGCTTTTACAATGTACTTTAAAAATGACGGATGAGAGGTATTGTCTGCCATAACTCCATTTTTTAATGCGTCTTAGCACTAACGTGCACAAAGTCCTTCAATTATGAAGGGTATGACTGAAATGGGGAAGTAGTCTGATGCTTCAGAATTATAAAGCCAATTGGATCATAGCATGCATGTTCGATCGTCATCGAGGCCGAACCGGCTAGCCCAAGTGTCTATGTAACTATGAACCAAATGTTAAGGCCTGTCAGCTGTCCATGTCAAGGCATCAAGTTGTTTTCCAGAGAGGGCAGATGCAGGCGAGGAGGGGGATCTCCAGATGGAGGAGGATGAAGAGGACGAGGAAGAGGAGATGGACGATGAGGATAGAGACCCTGTGAAGCACCCGCTTCGAACTGACCCATACAGCATCTGCAAACGTGCAGGCCTTGGTGAGAACAGCTGGCTAGAGACAGTACCTATTGCTGATATGAAAGTGCAGTTTGCATACAGTAACTGTAAGTTATAGTTTTATTCTTCCTTTTAAAAAGAGGCCTGATCTGATATGAATAAATTTATTAAAAATACATTGGATACTTCCCAAATGAAGGAAGGATGTAGGGCAGCAAATAAGGTAGATGTTCACAATTGGTTTTTTCAGATTGATTTTTCCTGAAACTTTTATTGAGAAGCTTGTAGGTAGTTATTGATTACAGAGCCCCCAATTCCTCCAGATTTTTATCATCCTCTACTGGTAGGATTGCTGATGGATTTAGTCCTGGAGAGCATAGACATGTGTATACCATGTTTTCATTGAATATATTGTTCATGTTTTCATTTTTGGATCTGCAGAACCCCTTTCCAAGAGGTTTGGTCTGGCTCCAGAGCAGTTCGCAGAGAATGTGCGTGACAACTATCAGCGAAACGAGGTGGAACAGTTCCCCATGGAACCACTTGAGACTGCCAAAGAATTTGTCTGCAAGTTAGTTTTCACTCCTGAAGACAAGGCTTACATGGCCTATTATTGGTGTCGGTGCATTAATTGAATGCATCACAATTGATGGTGGATGTGAAATGTGACATTTGACCTTGAATGCAAACAGGAAGTTCCCTACCCCAGAGGACGTGCTGTCAGCAGCCACATTCATGGTGGCTCTGCAGCTGGCCAAGGAGCCGGTGGTGCGCAAGTGCGTGCGGGAGGCATACTTCGAGAGGACGCGAATCTCAGTCGCACCGACACGCAAGGGTGTCAAGGAAATTGATGAGAACCACCCACTTTACAGGTGACATGACATTCTCTCTTCCTTCTTGGGTCTTCTGCTCCTTCCTGTGCTAGTTGAAGCTTGGAACAAAAAAAGCCAAGAAAGACAAATATGCTATTTATGTGGTGGTTTAAAGCATGAGGACATTTATTTGACCTCAATTGGAAATGAAGACTACTAGCAAGGGATTTTTGATATTGTATTTTATTAAGCTATAAAGAAACTTTTAATATTACAGTCCTGTTTATTGCATTATCATTTCTTGTTACAGAGATATTTCTATTTCAAATTCTTTGTGATTAAATCTTGTTTAAAAAAAAAAAAGAAGAAAATTACAAAATATAAAAAATTTGCCCCTTGTGGTTCCAAGCCTGCCTTTTTCAGCATGACTTATACTGGTCATATGAGCACCAGATATCTTCACAAAATTGAGACATTTTCAGAAAGTGAACCTGTTGTGATCAAGCAAAATGTGAATGTCCTAGAAGATTTTGGATCCTGTGCTATTTTCCCAGCCATCCACTTTATTTTGTTCATTCAATATTGTTGATATATACTTGTCTTTAAGAGGAGCATCCATGTTTTCAATGCATACAGTACGTTGCTTGTTTATTTGACAGCATTGCAGCATTTATTTGGTCCTTTATAACACTGAAAGAATTTACAGCATGAGGCCATTTAAATGAGTCTTATGTTGCAATTTTTTATATTTTGATGAAAGTCTCTGAACCTTCCTCTACCTTGTGTTCCTTCTTTCACTATTCTTACTTGCAGACCGTTTGAAGCATTCTCTACGGTGCCCTCTGATTCATTTGTCCTTTGATGGATCATTAGCCAAAGATTTTCCCTTAGCGTGGATGCAATGAAGTCTAATCACTACAAGCTTAGGAGTGGGATTGAAGTGGTTTTGAACTTGTGAGATCAGGATGAAAGACTGATGTTAAAATACTGAAAACTTTCTTCCCCTTGAAGTAAGATATGGAAGAACCAGTCAAGTGGAATTGGAAGTCTGAGCTCTCTGTCTGGAATAGCAAAGTTTAATATTTTTTAAAGTAATAATATTCCACTGTGCAAATCACTGATGAGATTCCATGGGACTTTGAGCCTTTGAAGCATATGGGAAAAAAAATTGCCTGCACCCCCTTTGACTCTTAATGTTGAGCAATTCCAATCATTTTGATACCAGCCAGTATTCAGGAACCAATAATATACCATTCCTAGAGTAATTACCAGTTTTGATTTTTTTTACAGCATGAAATACTTGAATGATAAGCCAGTGCAAGAGCTGCAAGGCGACCAGTTCCTCCGCCTTACGATAGCCGAGAACGAGAAGCTCCTTTCCGTCAAGTTCTCCACGGACATCAAGGCCCTGACCGGGGTGGCTTACATCGAGGAAGTGAAGCAGCTCTACTACCGCGACGAGTTCAGCCGCAACGTTCAGCTGTGGAACGACCTGCGGGGGCAATGCATCGACCTCTGCTTCAACAAGTTCCTCTTCCCTGCCCTGAAGAAGGAGCTGCGGTCCAAGCTCATCATGGAGAGCAAGGATTACATCCGGCGCTACAGCCAGCAGCGTCTGGCTAACTGGATCCAGGTCTGCTCTTGGCATTCTCTAATTTTAGATATTGGACTGTGTCTACTGGCTTGTTGAGCTGAGCCTCAGCTGGCTTGCCCCATCCTACAACTGAATCACTATGTCCTTGGTCCATTATTATTGATTTGATGATGTGGTCCTTTCGTCCTGTGTTGTATGCACAGGTTGTGGATGTCAGTCTTAAATAGTTTTTTTTAGCTCTGGTTTCCCCATTAAGGCTGAAGAGTATGAACACTGAAGCTCTATTATTTAGCCTCAAAAGTTTAATTGGGTAGGTAATTGAAAGACATTTAAATAATACCAAAAATACACCCATAAAGAAATGGACATGATTTAGTTATTTGTGAAATGATCGCATTTCAAGCTTCTTGTCTATTCATATCCATTTTCCTTGACATAGTAAAGTAATTGTATTGTTGGTCAATGTGCAACTCATAGGTACTAGAAAAATCAACTCCTATGTTGACTGTAATCTGTAATTGGCCAGCTGCCAATTTTAAGTTTACACATCACTTAACGCAGTAAAATCAATTAGTTGCAAAATAAAAATACAAGCAAATTTTTTGCAATTTGCTTGATCAGGTGGCACCATATCAAGTGAATCTTAAAGACGACGACGATGACGATGACGACGACGACGACGATGATGATGACGATTGGCGAACCAAGCGAGGTGTTCGAGTCCTCTCTATTGCCTATGTCCCTGATCTGTCTGTGAGTTTCAGTAGCCTATATTACAAATCTTCCTTGTGGTTACTTGCATTTTGAGTGATATTGGCTGTCGAGCAGTCTTTTGAAACTTGAGCATGTTTACTTGAATGAATTGACTTCCATTTCTCAGTAGAATTATAATTATTATTTTGTAGCTTACCTAGTACAAGAAATGGGGTGGGAAATTCTTGGAAATTCTTTTGCTTGGTTGGTGTCAAAACTTATTATCTTGTGTAATTGTGCCAAATTGAGTTGCTTGTAAAGATTTTAATGTGATGACATACTTTTTTTTAGTTCATTCTAGCCCTCAAATCAAATTGACTGTGCAACTACATAGGGGGGGAATTTTCTCTGTCTTAGGTGTCTGCCTTTGCATGCATCGTGAATTTGGACGGCGAAGTGAACGATTTTCTCCGCCTTCCGAACCTCCTCAAGAGGAAAAATGCCTGGCGTGAGGCAGACCGAGTGGCCAAGGTCTGTTTCTCTGTTCTCGGTTTTTGTTTCATGTCTAAGCGATCTGTAGGATTTGGAGTCCAACTGCCTGCTCGTGTTCAGTGTTTCCGCAGTTGTTATGTCCAATTCAAATTTTCTCTTTCTGGTTTTGTATGCTACAATACTGCTACTAGTTTTCATCTTGAATTTTTTTGCATGTAAAATGAAGGTCGTATGGGAATATGCTTTATTATTTCAAAGCCTTAACCCTTTCAGGGCTGAGTTACGAAATATGCCACAAAAAAATGCTCATCAAAATCATAGGGTAGTTATCATTCATACAATGAGATACTAAAAGAATTACACAAATTTATTTATTAATTTCAAAAATAGAGACATGATGCCATATGGCATCATCCACCTTATCAAGATTATCAAGATGCAAATAAATTATTAAAAGTCGATTCACCAACATGGGAAGGGGTAATAGTAAGTAAATCAACACCTTTCCAGAAGGTGGTGCTATCAATCATATTTCAAAAAAACAAAACCAAATAATGAATCACAAAATACTTACCTCTAGTAGTTCTTCAGTTGTTGCCACAATCACTTTCACAGATATGTGTGTACTCTCAACTAGTCAAACCACTGCAGTGCACATACACGTTTGAAAGAGCGCTTCAAATGCTATCTGTTGACTACAGAATTGTAAAAATTCTCCCCTATAGATGGTTCTGATTGGCATTTTTAAAATAATGATGTCATTTGGCATCATATGCTTAGAAAGGGTTAATATATTTTGTAGAAAGGCTTGAAATTGAGATTCCCTCTGCTAGACTGGAGATCCTTTACGATGTCCATTTATGGATTAGGAAATAGTGATAATGCATAAATATGGCAAGCCATCCATTCATTAGAGTGACCTGTCCCTATTGTAAATATCTGCTTCACCTGCTTTGATTCACTTCTGAGACTGAAGCAGGGCCTCTGAAGAGAATATTCTCCCATGAGGCTTGAACAGCAAAAAAGTTGACATTCTCTATGCAAATCATAATGGATGAAATCAGGATTTCCTGGATTCTTTTGGAGCCTGGATATATGCTCAAAATATTTTTCCATCTCCAGCCAGTTCAGACTTCTTGGGTGATGGCAAAAAGTATTGCTAAATATTATGGTATTTATTTTTAGTTATAAACTCTGGCATTACTTTTCTTGAATTTAGAATCAAGTTGCCTTGCCAAAATGGAATTCATTATTTGTTTTACTTGTGCGTGAGATGTTTTGAGCTTCCTCCCCTGCTGATGATTGAGCCTTGCACTTGTCATTCTTTATTTCTAAATAATTATAAAAATAAGTTGAATTCTATTACTGGATCAACTCATAAATTGTGTGTTGTTTACTGAAATGCAAAATATTGGAACATACAGGAATACATGCCAGTCCTTAAATTGTTTAGGGGTATTAATTATTATTTAAAAAAAGCTGCCACATACACATATGTCATTCAGTTGCTTTGCAGCTGTCAATACAAAAAAAATGAAATAATGCATTAAGATTTTCCAAAAACCTGCTGATTGCTCAAACAACTTAGAGCTTCATAATCATTATTATTAGTAACTTATATACCTATGTTGCCGTTTTTACGAATTATGTACTTTGACATCCGATAACTCTAGTTTGCCATGATATTTTCGCTTCATTATTCTTTTGTCTGAAAGATACATTCTTTCTCTTTTTGAACAGGTATAGTAGTCAACATTGTCTCTTAATTAGTTTATGCAAAATCAGCTTTTGTGGAGACATGGACGAATTAAAAATTCAGATAATTTTTGAATATGAGTTCCGTCGTGGTACCACAGACAGCCTGGAATATCAACAACACGTATGGACCAACTACCACTAACGAACGTACAGCCCGGTATTGGTTCAATCGTTTCCGTTCTGGAAATTTTGATCTTGCAAATGAGTCCCGTGGGCGACCTGAGACGGTCGATAACGACGAATTGAAGGCTATAGTGGAAATGGATCCATCCCAAACTTCGGGTGAATTAGCATCAAGGTTTGGTGTAAGCATTAAAACCATACTGATTCATTTGGATCAAATTGGTATCGATACAATACTTCATAGGTAAACCCCTGATAACATGTGAGGGACACTGAGTTCCTGAAATTATTGCATACCTGCTGGTCATTTGATGACATCAGAGTCTGTAGATTCACTTTTTCACCCCTGTTCTTTGAATGGTCACAGGAAGCAGATCTGGATAGCCTGCGGGCATTCATCACCAAACAGAAGCCGCACGTGGTGGCCATCGCCGGGGAATCTCGCGAGGCCCTCGGGATCGCCGAGGACGTGCGTGGGCTCCTGACTGCCCTCGTGGAGGAGGAGGGCTTCCCGTCCCGCATCTCGGTGGAGATCGTCGATAATACCCTTGCCAAGATCCAATCTAACTCGAAGAAGGCCGAGGTGAGGATTTGTGTTCTTGGTTCACATCTACTGTGTGTGAGGTCAATGTTGGTGAGGTGAGCACCTGTACAAAAGCAGTCTTTTTAGCTTCCACAGTGATGTAGGACGTGGGACATTATTAACAGCAGGCATTGGTGAAAGTTATTTTTAAATTGCAATTCATTTTGTTGGAAGTTCTTTTTAAGTGTGAGATTCTTACCCCTTACCAGGTAGTTGGCTACTGATGTCTTGCACACTGGCAAGGAGTGACCATGAGTACCTTAGAGCAGCTTTTGGAAGCAAGAGTTTGATTTACTAATTAATGTGCCTTGCCAATATTATAGTTCTGAAAATGATTTAATATTTACTCTTATTGGCTTAATTTGCTATATTATTTTTTGGGGATTTACCAAACTTATCCTAATTTAATGACTAACATGTAAGGATGGTGGCAAGCAAATATAAATTAGATTTCTTTGGTGTTGTAGAATATTGCAATATGTGATATATCATGGAAATAAAGGGAGGAATGAAGTTGCCAAGCTTGTAGCCACATTGATCTTGGCCCAGCAGATTTACTTGCCCTTTTTTCATTTCTGAAAGAATTTTACCCACCTATGTTTTCGCCAGTTACTGGGAATCATGATAAGTTCACCTAAATATTGGGACTTCTGAGTATATCATTGTTGGAACCAACTGCTTTTGAGAAACTAAATTCCTAAGTTGAGGATGTATGGTTTGTGTCAATGTGAGTTTTCAACTGAAGCTAGAAGAAATTCACAGAACTACCTGAGCAGTTTTTTGTTAATTGTCCTTGGTATCCCATTCCAAAACTAAACATTACTTTCCTTGGTTCCTTGAGGAGGTATAGCTTGTTCTTTTCACTTCAAAGTTCGAAATCCTGTGTCACGGTCTTTGAGGATATTCTATATTGTTGGAAGTTTTCTTCATTTGATTCAGTATACAGTGCCTAAGGACTCTAAGAGGAATTTTGATAGGCCAACCAAGGGAAACAGAAGGTTTCATCCTACCCACTGTTTTGATTTTTTAACATATATAATTTATTTAGTCTATATTCTCAAGTTATGTCAGAGGGAATAAATACAGGGAGGATTTCATCTTCATCACTGCAATTTTCATAAAGTTTTGGAACTGTCTGAAGGGATGTGGCTATCATTTCTTATGGATCTTTCCCAGAACGAATATCGGGACTACCCGCCGCTTCTGCGGCAGGCAGTGTCGGTGGGGCGCTTCCTCCAGGACCCCCTTGTTGAGGTGGCCCAGTTGTGCACTATAGAAGAGGACATACTGTGCGTCCGCTACCATCCCCTCCAGGTTTGAGATGAAGATTTTTACATGTGCTTTTTCATGGAATACATCTAGCTGAATCATCTTACTCAGTTGTGGACTCCTTAGAACATGTGTTCTTATCCAAGAGTGCTTTTGGAGCTCCAGTGAATACATCATAAACTGTCTTGGTCATAGAGGCACAGATCATCATAATAAACCCTTTGTATGAATTGTTTTTTTTTCTGGTTTTTATATATGCATGTGATTTCAGTACACTTGCATGAAGTGTTCTGAATCCAACAGACCATTATACTATTATTCTATGGTGAAGTTTGAGTTATTGGCCTATTTGTGTGACTAGGAGCTCTATATCCATATTTACTGAGTCATTGAAAGGTGAATGTGTATGCAATATGTTGCTTTAAGCCTTCTATACCTCAGGTACGGGTAGTGAGTTCAAAAACTGTCCCTTAGCAAATACGGATACATTCATTGATCACAGGTTTCACAGGCCTAAAAAACCTAGAAATGGCTGGGAGATTTTTATGGAGGGAGAAGATTAGTGTGGGAATATGAGGTGTAAAATTTGTCAATGGCCACTACCATTTCCTCTGTTACCTATGTTGAGGATACAATATGTTGATCTAAGTTGAATTTGGAATGGTTTGCAGGAGCACCTTTCCAAGGAGGAGCTGAATGAAATAGTCACACAGGTGCTGATGAATGTGATCAACGAGGTTGGGGTTGATGTGAACCGCTGCCTCACCCAGCCTCACACAGGGAACCTCCTCCAGTTCATCTCGGGTCTCGGCCCCCGAAAGGCCACCGCTCTCCTCAAGGTCTGTCGATGCATGGATTCTTGGTCGTAAATGGTGTCGCGACTCAAAACGTCGAACTCGTGGCACCGTCACAAATGGAGTCATGACCTGGGTCATCATTCAGGGATTCTTCAGGTTGGGGGTGGGAGGGGGCCAGCCCAGGGGAAAAAGGAAAAAATCCACAAGGGTGGAGGGCAGGAACCAGTGAAGGCTTTGAATGGGGGGTGCCATGTTTCTTAATCTATGACCTTGAACCTCCTTGAACATTTTGAGATTGCTGAAAATTGCAAGGCACTGAATCACTTTTAATGATAAAAAATACTGAAAATCGCTGAAAATGTAGTGCTAGATATAAAAATTAAAATATAAATCCTCAAAATGTGTGGCCAAGTCTTTTTCTGGATTATCTGAAAACTCCTGTCATATTTTGGTGCCTGGAAACTGTTCAGTGGTTCTGTACTTGGAGAGATTTGTTTGTAAGTCTAAGTGGCTGAAGTGGTGTCCTTTACTCTTGGGAAAAGAATTTGTATTCATATATTTTCTCTTTGAATTTGATGTTTTTTTCTCTTTTGAGAAGAAATCTTGGTCACTTTCATGCAAGTTCCAAGAAGAGCATGGTTTTAACTTGGTCGTCAGGCTCTCTACATGGACCTGTCTCTTTTCCATTTTGACAGGCCCTGAAGCATAGCAATACAAGACTGGAGAACAGGACCCAACTGGTGACAACCTGCCACCTTGGTCCCAAGGTGTTCATCAACTGTGCTGGGTTCATCAAGATTGACACCACCTCCCTTGGAGACAGGTTCGAGTTATTGAACTGCATGACTGAATCTGGCTTGAAATGGAACAATTCACTTTGTAGATTTGCAGATTTGTATAATTTATATACACTCAAATTTCTGATGAGGTATTTCTGTGTCAGTACGGACACATACGTTGAGGTGTTGGATGGGACACGGGTGCATCCAGAGGCATATGAGTGGGCAAGGAAGATGGCTGTGGATGCGTTGGCTGATGAGGAGGCAGGAGAAGAGGCCCAGCCGGCAGCGGCCCTGGATGAGATTCTCAAAACCCCTGAACGTCTCAAAGAGCTCGATCTGGATGCCTTTGCGGCCGAGCTGGAGAGACAGGTGTGTGGACGGCAGGGTTCTTATATCAGGAAAACCTGTAGAAGAGCTGGGATGTTGAAACGAGGTGAAAATACATTTCTCCAATTTCTATGTGGTCAAGGAAGTTTACAAAATTTTGTGCAAAAGTTTGTAAACCTGTAGAAGTCTGGGAAACTGATCTCTCAATTCTCAAATTTCAATGGAAACCTTGCAACATAGCTCTTTGCAGAAGTATGTGTGACTGGTAACAGGGAATTCCTCTTTTAATCCTGTTGAGAACTGTCAAGAATTTCCTTTCTTCTGCAGGGATTTGGAAACAAGAAGACCACTCTGTATGACATCCGCACGGAGCTTATCTTCCGCTACAAAGACCACAGGGTCTCATACAAGAGCCTCACTCCTTCCGAATTGTTCTACCTCCTTACCAAAGAGAGTGAAGACACATTTTATGTAGGCAAGATGGTGCTTGCCACTGTCATTGGTGAGTTTCTCTTTTCTTCTTGTCTTTTGGAATTGAGAGAATAAATTACTTTCTTCCTCTTGAGTTGATATTGCCAATGGAAATGGCAGCAAAATAGCACTACTATTCCTCATTGAACAGGACAAACAATCTGCTCAGGAATGGAGAAAGTTTAACCATCCGTCATAATTGTCTTTGTCCTGTTCATCTTCATTTTTGTCATATTTTCATCAAGCAAAAGAGTTGGAATTGCTGTGGAACATACAGCAGACACAGGCACATGTAACCCATCTGTTGACTTTATTGTAATCCATAAGATACAGTATCATCATAGTGTATAACCTTGGGCATGTTGCATATCTGCATCCCCATGAATACATAAACATACTGCAACTTTTAACATGCTGGTAGAATTTAATTTTTCCACTTCCTCAGTTTCTTTGGCAAGTTGGCTTATTTTTGCTCTGTGTAGATATTTTTGCTGAAGCATGAGCCCTTTAAGTTTGACAAAATATCATTGACATCCATGTATGATGTGACTTGCAGGGATTGCCCATAAGAAGATGGTGGGTGAACAGGTGGACAAAGCAAACCCTACTAGGATTGAGGAGACTGGGCTGTGGCAGTGTCCATTCTGTCTCAAGAATGACTTCCCTGAGCTCTCAGAGGTGTGGAACCACTTCGATGCGGGGGGCTGCCCCGGCCAGGCGACGGGGGTACGCATCGCCCTCGACAACGGCCTCTCGGGATTCATTCACCTCAAAAACTTGAGCGATCGGGCGGTGACGAATCCCGAAGAGCGGGTGCGTCGGGGTCAGGTCATCCACTGCCGCCTGATGAAGATTCAGGTGGACCGCTTCTCTGTCGAATGCACCAGCAAAGGATCTGATCTCCAAGACAAAAATCATGAGTGGAGGTACAGTATGTTTTCTTGAATGACAATGGAAAACAAATGCAGATCATTTTCAAAATTGAAAACAACTTTTTTGGCAGCTTTTGTAGATGAATAGGTCCTTTGTGTGGATAAATAGTCCCTTGGACTTGGTCACTTGATGGCTTTAGTGGCTATAAAAATTGTCACTACTGTGTTGACTGTTGTAGAATCAGCTTTTTTGGGGCATTAATTTCATATGGACTGCTGCTGCCTGCATCTTTCAGAGTTGAAAGCTAGCATAGGAAGATGTAGTTACTTTTACAGTTTTTACAGTGACCTGTACCTGCTACAGTAATGTCCTATGAATTTTTTTCATTGGAGTTTGACACTTCCCTTTAATGATTGTAGGCATAAGTTAGCTTTTGTCATGTTCCTGGTGCTTTGCAATTTTGACTGAGGTCATCGTCCTGTCACCAATTTCAAAATGATCTTCTTTAAGGGTGTTTAGGGTATAGAGCAGGTGAATAGAACTAAACTTGAAACTGAAAATGTCTTGAAATTTAAGATTGATGAGAAGAATTTGAATTTTGAGAGACAATGTGGCTTTTGAAATAGGCCTCCAAAGGACCCATACTATGACTACGAGACGGAGCGCCGTGACCAGGAGCAGGAAGAGGAGAAGAAGAAGAAGCAGACACGCCAGACATACATCAAGCGCGTCATCGTCCACCCCGCATTCCACAACATCGGCTACAAGGAGGCAGAGAAGCTGATGATGCAGATGGACCCTGGCGAGGCCATCATCCGCCCGTCTTCCAAGGTTGGCTTTTCGCTCTTCATTGAAAGGAGGATGGAGGTAGAACATGAAATATTTGAGACTCCAGAAAAGGTCCTGCTGGTTAAAAAAAAAAAGCAAGAGTCTCAGGGAAACTAGGAAAATTTTATTAATGCCTCCTTTAATGGATTTCATATGAATAAGGTGTTGTCTCTTATGGTTCTATGTAATATGAATAGAGTGAAAGAGAACTAGGGTTCTCTTAATTTCACTAGCCAATGTGTGCTTATTGCATTTTCCACATTAAAAAGCACTACTTTATAGATTTTAAGCCTCCAAAGAAGAAGCCTGTGCTTCCTTGAAATTGTAAGCACTCAAAGGATAGGAAATATCTGCATTGTAGAAAAAATAAAAGGAATGTGTACTTCAAACATGCAGTTTTCCAGAAATTATTAATAAATGTATTGATTGCAGAAGCAGGAATTAATGTGTTGGTATGCTTTGTAGGGCTCAGATCACCTGACTGTTACATGGAAAGTGACTGATGGCATTTGCCAGCACATTGATGTCCGGGAAGAAGGGAAGGAGAATGCCTTCAGCCTGGGACAGTCTCTCTGGATTGGTATGTTTTCCCAAAGCCAAGTTTTCTTTTCTCATAGCCTTGTGATTCTTGAGCTCTATTTTATGGAGTGTGCAAGGTGGGGTGTTATAGCACCACAAATATTCTTCATGACTGAGAAAGATATAAATAATTTAATTCCTCAAAACCAAAATATTATTTAAGCTTTTTTCTCTTGGCAACCTTTGCTGACCAGTGTGAATTGCATGATTTTCTGTTGACTGTAGCTAAACTGCTTCTGCCACTTGATCAATTATGCCTCATGTTTTTATTGCCTGGAAAACTTGATTAACATAGTAATTTTGGTTGGAAATCAATTGCCGGATGAAGTCGAGTTCGATGTTTAATTTCACTATGAATTTTGTCTTTCCAATAGGGAGTGAGGAGTTTGAGGACTTGGATGAAATCCTCGCCCGATACATCACCCCGATGGCAGCACAGGCCAGGGATGCTCTCAACCACAAATACTATCGGGACACCGAGGGCGGAAAGCACGAGAAGGTCGAGGAGATCCTCGTGGAGGAGAAGCGCAAAAACTCCAGCAAAATTCATTATGTTATTTCTGCTTCTAAGGTATGATCTTAGAAGTTACAAGATAGTATTTATGTATGATATCTGAATTGTGTTGCCTATTTGTTCTTGTACCCTTTATGCTACTTCTCTCCCCTTGAGTTATTGTCTTTATACAGTTGCAATAAGACTAGCTTGGACATTAGGAAGGGAATTACGAGGTTCTCATTCTCATCTGCATGGTGAAGCAACCAATATATATGAACTTCAAAGCGTTGATGCATTTACTGTTGCAGTAGTATGAAGGGTGATAAATACTTTTTTTGCCATGATTTTTCCTGTATATTACAGTATTCATTAGATTCATGAACAGTTTATGTTTGCCATACACCTAAAGCTGAGGGACAGTTGGATTGCTTCCTTGCTATGAATCTTTATGCTGCTGAAACAGTAACACCAACTCATAATTGGTCCACAGCTTATTACAGTAAACTATCTCAACTTGACCTCATTGTGGTGATATTTCTTTGTTGTTAGGATTTCCCCGGGAAGTTCCTCCTGTCGTACCTGCCAAGGACGAAGGTGCGGCACGAGTATGTGACGGCCACGCCAGAGGGGTTCCGGTATCGAGGTCAGATGTTCGACACCCTGAACCAGGCTCTGGGGTACTTCAAGAAGCATTACCGGGAGCCACCCCCGACGGTGCAGACGGCTGCTCGCACTGGGCTCCTCACGAATCACAATACACCCTACATCCAGGGACCTTCCACAGCTCCTCACACACCCTCCATTGGGCTCTCTGGTAAATTATTCAGCAAGAACTGACCCTATTGCTATATATCTTGTAAAGTTAGAGAACTTTCACACGTGGTTACTCCTGCCATGAGTAGCAGTGAAATAGTCTTGTTACCCTTTATTAGTATGAGAGGTGAAAGCAAGAAGAGTTTATTTTTTCTTGGTGAAAGGGACTCTTGTTTCAGATTAACATTCAGTACTTGCCATGAAATTTGGCTTTATTGTGTTCTTCTACTGATGAAGTTATTTAATTAACCTATAGTCATCTGTGGCAGTTTGGTGTTTCACCAAGCAGAAATGCACTTTGTACTTGCCATGAATATTTGAACTGCCTCATCTGTGGCCTTCTATCATTCAGTGTTCATGGCTAGGTCATCAACTAATGCAGGGAGTTCCTGGCAAAGTAAGACAATGTGTGTGGTCATTCTCGTTGCAGCCGATGCCATTCGTCAGGTGGCACAGAACCTCCCAACCCAGCTACTGAACACACTGTCACAGGTGTCCTCGGGCCAAACCCCTCGCACTCCATATGCGCACACCCCATTCACCCACTACAGCCAGACGGTGAGTTGTCGTACTAGACCTGCCTCTTCTTGTTCCCCTGTCCCTTGCAGATGCACCATCTCAAAGCTATGTGGCTCATCTTGTAGGTTAATAACATATGGTCAAGTTTCTACTTGTACTGGATGTAAATCCTAACTTGAATTAAAACTTGTTTTGTCAGTTTGAGTTTGTTGGAACTCACTTAAGCTACTTGAAATGCTCATTCACTTGCAGTTAATATGGTGCATGGACTCAAAGAATTTTACTGTGATAAAATTCTACAGTGGTAATTTAGAATGACATCCAGCTTTCAGTGCAAATGTTTCATTGTTTCTTCATGGTAGTAAAATATATATTGCTAAAATGGCTACCTCTGGCTCCTGACATTCAATGAACAGCCCAACAAATAGTGCTACAGTGAGTAACAACAGGTACGTCTCATGAGTGACTGGTGAAAATCTTTTGTGAAAGTACTAGAGTTTATTTTTTAAAGTTCCCTCTTAATTTCTAGGGTTTTTAAATATATTTTTTTTGCTTCAGATTGTCCTGGTTCATCATGATTTTGAGATTTGGCCTAAATCTAAATTGATGTGTTCCCATTGTAGCCATACACCCCATCGGGACAAACCCCATTCATGACCCCATATGGAACACCTCGACACCCAGGCTCCAACACACCCGGGTTTTCGGGCCAGAGCTATCCCAGTCAAGGCTTCATCCCGCCTTCTAGTCGTCCTCCCAACCGGTTCGCTTGGCTTCCTATCTGTTGTCTCATCTCCTCTGTAATGAGGTTAATTATGGAGATGTGTAATTTCCATGGCAGGACTCCAGTGGAGACACCCGGAGATTGGAGGAAGGCAGCCGAGGCATGGGCATCTCGGGCGAGACCAAGCGGAAGCAGGACCCCACGGTCAGTGTCTTCTGTTTGAATTATTTGTAACAGTATTCTTTCATAATTGAGCTAGAAACAAGAAAGTAAGCAAAGTTGATTTGAATGCATATTTCACTTAATCTCAACCTCAAATCTTGAATTCATGGTTTTTATTTCTTATCTGTCCATGATGAAAGCATCAAGATGAGTAAAATTGTGAAACTTCCCAACTCTAAGGTCAAGGTCAAGATCTTCCTTGTACATTTGAATTGCTCCTTGTTTGGACTTAAAATGAATACTAGACTTCCCAGTGGTGTCATTTGCTTCCCTGGAAGAGACAAAATTTGGAGTTATGGTGATGTAAAAATTGAATTATGTTGCTGGCTGCAGTAGACTAACACAACCTGAAAGTGAACCATCAAGTGGGAATGCTTTTTTCAGCTTTGAATTGGGAACTCTTAAAACCACAGTAAAGAAACTTGGAACAGGCTGGCATTGCACATGGCATTTGTGTGCTTGTTACTCTGTAGCTTGGTTGTTGCTAATTCTGTTTAGTTTGCTGTTGGGGTCAATATAAGTTCAAGTCATCTCAGTTGTTCACTGTTACAGAGGTAGTTAGATTCAATCTTGTCTCTCAGGCAACTAAGCTGTGATTTTCTAATCATAGACATTGGAGGCTTGCATTTTATTGGAATTCTGAGGTTTACCCAGGACAAGTATAGTTGAGATCATTCAAAGCAGGAGTTCTTCCTCTGCTATAAAAGCATGGGTATTGTTATACAGGGTGGACTGGTTAACCCTTTGGGGTCCACGCCCAAGTTATCTCATGTTGACCTCATGAGGGGATGGAAAAAACTTGGACAGTGCTGACTTACCCAAAATATCAGACCCCAAAGGGTTAATCTCTCGTCCAAGGTTTAAAGACTCATTTCTCAGAAGACATCCATTGAAGAAATACTGGATTTTTACTACATTGATATAATTTTCAATTACTGGTAAGTTATTGATAAGAAAAACCATGGCCAATCTCTTTGCACTGTTCATGTGCGTATTGAGGGAAAAGCAAACACTTAAGTCTCATGTTTTTATTTGCTACTGTGCAGTACCCCCTTTGGGAGTGGGACAACACCCCGTATGGAAGAGGGATCCCGCCGCACTCCAAGCTCGTATCGTCCAATCAACATGCGCAGGGATGACCAACCCGGTCCTTCGGGTTATACCGATGCCACACCCCTCTATGATGAGTGAATTCTTGTGAATGAAAAAAAAATTTTCTCTTCCTTTTCTCTGTCTCATAGGCTTTTTCCCTTCTTATCCTTTCTATTTGGTATCCCTTTCCCCCTCTTCTATGTCCTATCTTTTGTTCTCTCACTTTGTATGAGAGTAGTCGATGAACATCAAAGAATTTTAAAGTATGTGCTGTGAGCATATATTCATTGTTATTTATCATTTCTTTCTTCTCTATCTTGTCTTGAGTGCTCCAAATCCAGCCACAGAAGGGCCATTCACTGTTGATCAATAAATATTTTCTGACTTGCATTCCCATGTTTCATTCCATTGGCTTAGGATTTTCATTCTTTCAGTAGGTTACACATAAAGGCTTCTGTGAGCCAAGGGAGCCTATGCACCAAGAATTGACTATGATTTCCCTCCAATGATGTCAAGGATACTGAAAATTGTTTTATTGAACCTTCATCTTCCTTCTGCTGTCTAAAACAAATAATCACAGGGTATGGAATTGATTAAGTAGATTCTTGTCCAGGCAGCATCAAATAATTAAAGTTAAGTTACGATGCAAATCTAATGAGACAAAGCTACTGGGTGACACATGACCCCTATAGTGATGGCCAGAGAATTGAATTGGTGAAGTTTTCACATCCTATTAGCTGTCAGTCACCACAACATCCTTTACGTAGCACAGTTTACATTTATACCCAACAAAAACCAAAAACATGCTTCAAATGTGTCACTGATGCATGGGATGAAGCCTCAAATGCAGGGTGATTAACAAAATATACCATTTAAAGATGGCATAACTTGTGTATGTTGAAGCTAGGAATGGGGAATTTGGCAACAATCACAAGGACATATGGGGATTGACTGCTTGATAATAAAAGAAATATATGTTCTGTGTCTAACTCTTCATTCACAAATGTGATGCATAGTGTCATTTTGCACAACTACCTGCAGCATATCCTTGTGTAATCATAACAAATCTCTACCTTTGCTTCCTTCAACTCTGCAACTGAATTCAAGCACTCAGCCCTATCAGAAGCCCCAAAGAAAACTATCACATGAATTTGCATTGCTTCATCAGATGCAGAACATTCATTTTCAGGTGCTGCACATGTCCCATATTTGTTTTGAAAGTTTTGCTGTACTGTAACCACTGAATTTATCCATCTAAAGAAGCATATCACAAAAAAAGACCTTAGCTGCACAGTACACATTGCCTTGCTGCTACAACTCCAGGTGTGCTTGTGATTATTGTGAAGTTTCCTATTCCTAGCTTCATAGTTATCACATTCAAAAGATTTTATGCTTAAAAAATCACCCAGTTGACTTAGATTATGTGATTCTCTATTTCCCAAGCCATTCCCAAAAGTCTCAGAAGCCTAGAGCACATGGAAAATGTTATTCTTCAATCCTAGAAAATTTCATTATAAGAAGTAACTACTTTCACTTGTTAGAAGCCATATGTCCGTGATTTTAATAAAACATTATCTTACTTCAAGAAACAATGAAACAGCCATGAAAGATTTTGAAATGTAAAATGCTGAAAATTTACATCCAGTATATGCAAGTTTAGATCCAGGTATTAGATTTAATTCTCAATCTCATTCTGTTTCACTTCTTTATATTCTCACAAAATTAATTTTCAAAGAACAATGGAATGTTGCAATTTAAATGATTTTGTTGGGGAAAAAAAAGCTTAGATACACAGCACAAGCCTATGCTTCATGTGTTGAGAAATCCTACACAATCCAGGTTGAGCATCGAACTGCAAGCTACATTTCAATAAAACAAATTGCCCTCCTGTTTCAATTACAAGATAATGAATTTGTGCAAGCCTGTTCTCGAGCCACATTTGTTAAGCATAGACAATACACTATGACCTACCTTCAAAATAGAATTTGAATGGTGAAATCACAGTCTTCTCATTTCCTGCAGTTTCTTCATTGAATAGTTATTCATCGAGACCAATAAGGCAAATTTTCTTAAACTAATAAAAGGAAAACAACATTCAAATTTTGGAATAAGAAAGTTTAATTGAAAAAAAACTTCTTTGAATGCTTGCTGACAAAAAGAAAATTGTTTAATTAGTCTTGGAAAATCCACTTCTTCGACAATGAGAAGAATATAAGTCTTAGCTACTTGCCAACGAAAAAATTCACTGAAGGAAATCTAAACACTGGAATATTGATAATCCATGAAACGAAAAATCCTCCATTTTCTTGACTAAAGAAAAACTTGCTTCATCGAAGGATAGTTGGATCAAGTGAAGAACTGTGAACCCCACAGTGCATGAGGAGTAGTTCAGGGTCTTGAAAAAACAAATGACGTAAAATTTCCACATGCCACCAGGAACTATCAGAAGTTATCTCATGTCCTCTTAGGCATTCTCTTCATCTTCTGATGATTCTTCTGTGAAATACGTCTCAGTGGAGGTGTCCAGTTCTCCTTTTGACTTCTGCCCAGCAGCCACCTTGAACGCTGCTGCACTTGGCATGACAAGCGGAGATTTCTCAGCATGCAAAAGATGCTGCTTCTCTGCCTCCTGCTTTCTTAGCCTCGGATGAGTTTGCATAGCTTCCTTCTTGTCCCTGCGTGCCTTTGCCCGACCCCATTTCCTGCAGAAACACCATAAATTCATTTTGAGTAATAAAATGATATGATAATAAAAATAATGAATCCTCCCTCTATTCATTATATATATATCATCAATTGATGAATGATTAATTCAGGGGACTATATTGTCTGAACCAAGCAAACCAGAATTGGAACCAGACAAGAAACATTAAATTGCAGTAACTTCATTCCAGACAGAAAGACTACTTCTAATTGAAGATTAATTCAGCACAAATTCTGGCAGAAACCAAATTTTAGACAAAAATTCTAATTTAAGTCCCATGATTGTGACAATGCAAAATCTTCAGCACCTGAGCTTGACATCAATGTCAGGTGGGGTGGTGCTTTTGCAGGAGACACCAGTAGCAGGGGTCTCTGGGTTCAGCAGCTGCATGATGTATGTTGGGGTGGTCACTCTTGCTGGTCCAGGCACTGCTTCAGGGGTCCGAATCGCTTGCAGACGGCGCATTAGGTCATCCCCGTCCAGGTACTATTAAAGTTGCAGAGATATCATAGGTGACCATCCCTGAGGATTCATGGTTGAACAAAATTCAAGCTACTCAGGACACGACCATGGTTTCCTTCTATTGAACTTATAGATAGGTTTCACTCGAATCATGGACATCTAAAATTGACAGGGTTGAGCTGCATTGTTTATTCTTGTCACATAATCCTACTGCAATATTAATTTTTTCTAGGTGGTTGACAGGGGAAAACTTTGCTGCAAAAACACTGTCACTTAGAAGACAGAACCAAATTGACAAGCTTCCTGCAGCCATGAATGTAAAAAAAGACTTGAGCTTTTTTAAATCTCCAGTAATCACTGAGAAATGGGCTTAAAAACTTCAGAAATGCAATGGAAACCCCCTCCCCTCTCCATTAAAGGTCTCTATTGCTGATGTCAGTTTCAGAAAGAGGACATACATGTGACTTACATTTGTGACAGCCTCAACATCAGCTGCATTAAGCTCCAGTCCAAACATTCTGCTTGGGCTGTAGGCATCACGTCGGCTCTCTGAAAAGAAACCAGCAGTGTGGGCTTCATGTGATGGCAACTGACTCAAATGTGCTGACTAGAAAATTTTGTGGCATTTTTGGTGCGAATATAAAATAACGTGATGCAACAATTCAAAATTTGGCTATACAAAACAAAGCACATTAATGACATCAGACTTCAACCATTACATATTGTAAAAAACAGTGACAGACCAAATCACATGTTGGTATTTTGGTGGAAAAAAGAACTCCTAAGTTTGGCTCCATTCTATTTTAAGAATGCATAATTTAGCCTCTTATTCTTTTAACAGATCGCAGCATCAATTAAAATGGATGATGCTCACTTTTCAATTGAGATTCTGAAGATTGTGAGGTTTCAGGAAGATTTCTCTTAAGAGCTGCTTCTGCCGATGTTCCTTTGGTTCCTCGCTTTTTAGTTTTAGCCTTGTCTGGCACAGTACCAACCTTGGGATCTTGTCCTGAAGGACATGAGGAATAAAACACCCTCAACATTATAGTGGCATCAGGATTCAGAAAAATCCAGTAGTCAAAGACATACCCTTGGACACTGTTGGTACATTTTCTAGGGATGATTTCTTTGGCCTATTAGCTTTCTTCTTCACAGGTTCTTTCCTGGGAGACTTTTTTGTGAGAGGTTTTTTCTGAATNATAGTGGCATCAGGATTCAGAAAAATCCAGTAGTCAAAGACATACCCTTGGACACTGTTGGTACATTTTCTAGGGATGATTTCTTTGGCCTATTAGCTTTCTTCTTCACAGGTTCTTTCCTGGGAGACTTTTTTGTGAGAGGTTTTTTCTGAATTGTCTCCTTGCTTCCAACTTCCTGTATCGCCCTGTTCACCCTTTTCAAAGCATTTCTTGAAGAAACTTCTGCTTCCTTCCTTGAAACTGTAGCTGTAGTGAAAGACAGGGCAAGAATAAAATGGGTTACACATAAATTTCAATTATTTTAGAAGGTTTAACATTCAAATCCCTGAATGATCCAAATGGCTCCATTTCTTGAGTGGAACTGAAACATTCAAGAAACCCTCCCCATCATATAAAAGAGAGACAGAGACAGATATGCAATGATTTTGTGATTTTATCAAGGCAGATGACCAAGATATTGGGAGGGGGGAAGGAGAGGTGCTGATTTTCAGTCATCAAGAATGATGAACATGAAAATATTTTTGATTTTACTTCATTATGACGAAAGTCAATGAAAATGACAGTTTGAAGATGAACATGGTACGATAACAAAAGAAAATCAAGGACAATAAAAATAAGACAGGATAACTCTTTGATCCACTACAAATCCTTCCTATCCTTTTAATTAACCCTGTCTCAGTTAAGAAAACCTTTTTTTCCCTCCTTCCCCAGCCCCCACTTCTTGGCCCAAGCAAACCACACGACGGAAGTTACAATAAAAAATGCTATATTTTTTGCTCTAATTCTGAGTCATCTTCATTTTCTGAGGCACTGTCATTGTTTTCAAATTTTGATTTTCATAAGCCTTGGAAAAATGCTTTTCTTCCTTTAGCCCTCAATTCTTTCAGATCGCAGCCACGTGGGCTGCTGACATCTTCCCCAACTCTTCTCGTCGCCCATCTAATGTTGAATGTCAGCAATCAATGTTTCGGTCCAAGTCAAGACAGCAATGTCGCCAAAACCAAAACTTTACAGTAAAAAATGTCGAAAGACGCTCCCGAGAAGAGTTGGGGAAGGTGATAGCAGCCCACATGGCCGCAATTGAAAAGAATTGAGTGATGAAGGAAGAAAAGCATTTTTCCAAGGCTTATGAAAATCAAAATTTGGAAAACGATGGCAGTGCCTCAGAAAATGAAGGTGACTCAGAATATAAACAAAATGTATAATTTTTATTGTCTTTTCTGTCCTGCGGTTTGCTTGGGTCAAGAGGTGGGGGTTGGGGAAGGAAGGGAAAAAAAGGTTTTTCTTAACTAAGACAGGGTTAATCCTATATGTAATGTGACATCTAATTAGGTTGTGTGCCAACAAAGTAAGACTAAACATAAAGGATGGGCATAATCAAAATGACAAATTTAGCCAAAAGCGATGGTCAATCAAGTTTCCATTCTGAAATTGAAAAAAATTCTTATTCAGAGCCCATTCCTGAAATAACATAATTAAGAAACACATCTAATTCATAAAACAATAATTAACTTTCTTCAGAACAATGCCTTACCCAAAGAATTTTCATGATTGCTCACATTTTGGTTCCTTGGGAGAGGTATGTGCTCTTCCAGTTTGTGAATTTTCAGCTCGCACCAAGGTGGACCCCCGGCTCGATGATCTCAGTCGGGTCTGCTGCTGTCTTTTGTTTGAATCGAGGAAAGTCTGTGGCCTATCATCTGCCTTTTCCCCTTTTCGCAGCTCATAAGTCTTCAGAGGATAGAATTTCTCTATGATCTCAGCATAGTTTTTTGGAAACCCATCTTGAAACGCCTTTGCATATTCCTCAAAGCCTGTTTATGAAGAAACACAAACTTAGTTTTCTTCATGATTCTTCATGAGCCTGCAGCAGTGATAGAAAGGCAAATTTTGAGCCATGCCCCTTTTCTTAAAAAAAAAGGACTCTAGTTTTTTCTCAACATGACTTGATCAAAGGCAAATAATTTCTGGCAATAACACTCAGCAATACAGGTGACTGGAAGTGGCATCTAGTAATTAAATTCATCTCTTCAGAATAAAGAGATCTCTTCCCTATTTTCATTTCAAAAACAATTTCTCATCCACCCATGGGCTAATTTGAACAAACCATCATGTGACCAAACAAAGCCAAGCCCAAACAAGAGTAAAAAGTGACTGGAGACACTCACAAGGATTTGGTACGGCAGGTGCCCCACACAGACAGTACAGGGAGCCTGAATGTGTGCACACCTCCCTGGGAGACAGCACTTTCTGGACCGGGGTCGTGTACCATGTCCATAGTGCTCCGTCTTGCCTGCGCCATGGATGAGAACATCATTTGTGCATCATCAGCATGCATCTATCACAATAACATACAAAGAATGGACAAAGCCTTGTGCTTTTCTGTCAAGTGTTCACAGAGAAACAGTCCTTGACAATTACTACCTCACAATCAACAAAATAATTTGTCCACGAATGCTTATCTGAATAAACACAAGCTGATCAAGCATGAAAGCCTCTATATTTGCTAAAAAACTAACCATTAGATACATGATGATGTATGGGCAAATAAATACAGATACAATACTAGAAACAAAGGATTCTTCCCAATGTGGCTCACATGAAAATCATTGATATCATTCATTGTTTGATGCTAAAAATGCATACTAGATCTAGCCACCAGTCCCATGACACACCCTGCTTTAACAGTCAGCTTATAAAGCTAAAGATCAGATCATGTATATGGCCCATGGCCATATACATGATAAGGTACAAATGAAGGATACCAGCTACATAGACCTTTAAGGATTATGACTTGGCAACCCAGTGTGCCATGTTTTACAATGCTGGCATACCTTAGGCCTATTGGCATGATGACTTTACTGATGGTGCTATGCATGATAGAATGTAAGGTGGAACTCACTCGATGCATCCCCTCACAAACAGGGACTTGTTGCGAAGCGATAAAAGAGGCAACCAATGAAATAGCTTCTGTGCCTCTGCTCTCCTCTTCTCCGTGGCATTCATCACACAAATAATAAAAAAACTCTTGTTTTCAGTTCAACCTGAGGGTGGAAGAAAGGGAACCTGTCGTGATTGAAGTAGGGCGGAGCAGACTTAGCCTAAACTGATGCAGATTCCAGAAGTCTTAGCCTAGGCTTCGTTGGGCTCGCACAGCCCTCTCCTTCCAATCTGAGTTTCTCTGAAAATCTAAAAACTCCACCTGAAACTACCTTATCCTTAAGGAATGCGTTTTTTTCCCGTTCCACTAAGTCATGCTCAAGGCAACTCTCACAAACCAAGATCTAACCCATCTCGCGGTTATAATCCCTTCCAGACACCCGGAAGGTCCACCTCCTTCGCAAAAGCCCAGGGTCCACTCAGGTGAGGTTAAAAAATTGAAACACCACGAAGCTGAAAACAACACAGAGGTCGGAACCCCCTTCAAATAACCCCTCCGCCGGTTGAGCGATTGCGTCGACAGTGATGCCCAATACTCCAAGTCATTTCCTTCACATTCTTCTCACTGATTCTCATCCTGCTGTCAGACGCACAGCTATGCTATAATATGATTATATGCTAATTAATTATATATACCTCGATCCTTTTCCAGTGAAAGTTTATCTGCATACATTTCTGGACTGGTGCAGCCCTGTTAGCCGACTTCCGATCGCCAGAATATGTCCTCGTTACACACGTGCTCGTTGTTTACATCCAATTCTATGGCGTATTTTGCGTAAGACCTTGTTTATCTCTACGTTGCCCAGGTCGGTAACCTTCAGCTGCTTAAGTGAACGGTGAATCGTGTATGGAAACTTAGGTATGTTCGGTAGGAACGTTTTAATGAAGTCTGTGGGAGAGAATCCAGTGGCGGCTCGTGGACGAAAAACCTTTGGGAGACCAACTCATGATCTTCATAATGGACGAGAATTCATTGTTGTATTAACCCTTTCAGACCTGAATTAAGGCCGCTATCGGAATTATATATTTTTTGCAGTTTTGAGCTCTTTTGTGATTTTAATTGAAATTTTCGTGCTTTTTATGCAGTTTTCATATTTTGTATAAATTTACCATATCATACCATATATTATATATTAAACATTTAATTAAATAACTGAAGATTAAAATACTAAAGGGTAAGAGAAGGCCTCTGATGGAACTGAGCCATGCATAATTACGCCCATTTTAGCGTTATATGGAGCGCAAAGTCAGGAGAATTTTAAGAAGTTGCCATAGACACAATGTAAATGCAATGTCCATTGGAATGGACGTCAGGTCTGAAAGGGTTCATGGGAGCGCAAAGGGTCAGTCGCTGAGCGAGGAACCATGTCATGTTTAATAGTTACAGTTTACATTCCCAAGCAGCATGTTCACGTAAACACGATATCAATTTCTTGCAAACGATGTAAATTTCTTGCGATTGCCATGAAAATGACATCACGTTTACGTAAAATTTATATTCCTATATTTACGTCACCAAAGTGTACGTGTATTTTACATCAACTAGACGTCACTCCATCTGACGTGAAGTACATGATATCAGGTTTATGAAAAATTAACATCACACCATCCATATGAAACTTTAGCTGACCATCCTGCAGTTGCAGTACCAAGATTCCTCACTAGATGGAACCCTTGTTCCCTGCATCCTATAATTACTATTAAGTACTGGTTTTCCTGATATAGTACCAGGTTTTATTACCATCCTTTTACTTTTTATTATGCAATCCATGAATATATATATGGAAAACATGAAATTATAATATATTTTTTATAATATATGACTCAGGGAATCATTAAATGCTGAAGTTAAGATTTTTATTACAGCAGTGCACGGAATTAGGGAAGAGTAGAATCCCAACCCCACAAGTACTACATCTTCTCTATCCTAAAAGGAAGAGAGCTCCCTTGAACATCTACTCCTCCTCCCGAGGTTCCAGTACGGGAGGAGGAAGCAGTAGGTCACTTTGTTACTCTTGAGTGCTGGTGAGAATGAGTACTCGTGTACTCGTCCAACCACCCTAGAGTTCTGAAGAACGTAAAGTAAGAGGAGGTTCGGTATATCAATGGGACTGATTGACTCTTTAAATACGCATTAATGCCAAGCGAAAATTAACATAAATCTTATGCAAAATGAATGTAAACATGCTGTTTGGAATGCAAACGGGAATGTCAATTTTACGTAAAATTTACGTTAATTTTATATCACCGTTTACGTATCACAGAGGTGACATTTCTGCAAACATGTTGACATTTTCTTGACAATGGTTTGCGTAAAAATGATATAAAATGGACAAAAACTTTGCATTCATTTTACGTAAAATTAACATAAACATGCTGTTTGGGTTGTATCCAGGACCGGCCCCAGCTATTTCGGCGCCCTGTGCAGGGAGACTCCCAACGTCCCCTCCCCCTCTCCCCTCAAAAGGGAGTAGGCTCAATCCCTGAAGTCCAAAAGGACGCGTTTTGTGTCAACTGTGAATGAATCCAATGATCATCAGAGATTTATTTCACTTATTTGCTATCCTAAAGGATATTTTCAATTTTATGGGAAGTGTCTCCTGAGAATTATTGAGGAGGCCGGGCCTCCCCTGCAAACCTGCACCACCGAGAGAATCTCTACTGCCTGCTGGGACCCACACGAGTCACAAAGAGAGCATGCGAACTTGATTCTCTTTAGTCTCTGCAGTCCTAAACCTCTCTCAGCAACTTTGGCCAGGGCCAGTCCTCGCCACCAGGCACTCCGGCGGATGACTCACTTGCCGTCAAATGAGGGACATTTCCGGATGAGATGTCTATGAGATGTCCACGAGACGCCCACGAGATGACCATGAGACGCCCACGAGATGACCACGAGACGCCCACGAGATGACCACGGGAAGCCCTCCGTGCCGGCAGAGGATCACCAGGTATCACCGAAAAAGCGAATCGTTTCGAAATTGGCCGGACGCGCCATCTCATGGCGGACGATGAAGCACTCTAAACGACCCTGATTATGCCTCGAGGAAGAGCAAGAAAAAAATGAAAATACAATCCTGTGCGCTTTTTACAGGTAAGTAAAAAGTACATTCTAGCATTAAATGCGGGATTTTTTACTAGCATGCCCAGGAGGAGTCAATTGACGAAATGTGGCATAGGAACTCTTACCGACATGTAAAATCGAGCCGAGTTTTAATGCCATAGGGGTTGCAGAGAAAACTTGTCGCAAACGCAAAGGAATGGGGCAAGACGTCGGGGTAAAATTCTTTATAATTTTTTGAGCCGTTTATTTACGAATGATCGAAACGAATCAGAATCTAATAATGATTGTGACTCGTGGAGAGCCAGTGTTGATTGGAACCTTTTCTCCTGCTTTCTTCGCTGCCACGAAAATGTGTGGAGAGCCGTCTAACGTCTCATAACGAACAAAATAGGACCCAACATGTTACGGGAAGGAGGGGAGAAGAGATAGCGAATGAATTAGTTGGAGAGCATGGTGTTGAAAAGTCTGCCAGCTTTTTTTTCTGCACCCTTGTCTAATTCTTCCAACGTCCATTCAGAGGTGAATTAAAGGTGCTAAGAGGTGGATCATCCCACCTCAAGTGAAGTGATTACTTTTCCTCGACCGTCTCAGAATTCTATTAAATTTTCATCTTTAACTTTTCAAGGGACAGTTTGATGCAGCTGACAGTGGGGAAAAATTGTCTGCATGCAGCGGTTGGCTTTCAGTTATGATTTCTCAATAACTAGTGGATCTATTCGTAATAATCATTACATAGAATTAATCATCATAGAAGCATCTACATGCTTCTAAGCATCTACATGCTTCTTTCATACATGTTATTCTGAAGGAAACTCAGAGAAAATTAATTGATGTGTTTTCCATTCAATCAATATAGCTTAAATGTCACGTGCTGCCTGGAAACCGCACTGGTTTAGCTTCGCATCATGCCTGGTTTCTGACAGGGACAGTAACATCCTGTGACCCTTTTTGACCTTCCCTATTAGCCTTCCTTTTTCCATCGAATCATGACAAACCATGAGTAGTGCATTTTTTTTTATGGAATTGTATTTTATGGAATAGACTACTTGAAAGGGAAGATACCCTTTCTTGGGAGTTTTAAAAATACTTTGCATGAATGTGAATGGTATTGCAAGAAAATTGAAATTTGGTAATAAATCCGAAGGGCCTTGGAAAAAGAAGTAATAGAAAGTGATGTGTATGGAACGAGGTCCGTTTAAGTTGCATTATTGCTTCAATACCTTTTTTTTATATGCTTTTTCTAAAAAATGATTTAACTCCATTCCACACCAGTAAATAAGATAGGGATAAAAGTTATGAGGTAATTAAGTATGAAGTCAAAACTGGGTATTGTGAATGGCATACACAGTCGATGAACTTATGGCGTTCAAGTTTAAGCTCTCTGTCCCGCATACCATAAACTTTTTTTTAAACGTCTTTTAACTAAATATTGAGCTCGAAGTTAATTCTATGCGAATTCCTGCCACACCCAAAGAAAAATACTTTTTATTTATAAATGCACTCATTCAAAGAATGCTGAGTTTTAGAGATCATGCACTATACCACTCTTACCTTTCTCACTGTATGTAGTGAAACAACCGAATACCAATGTAGTTGAAAAAATGGCATTCTTCGCACAATCAAAAAACGTTATGGAATCATATAGCTAATGATGAAACTTATTTGATATGCGCCGATACATCAACGGGTAAAGGAAAATGGGAAATGCAATTTGCTCGATGAAAATTAAAATTTTCATCGATGAGCATTGCAAACTGCTAGGGCATTTATTCACTCAACTCTGTCTCGGAGTATGATCTTGAGAAAAATGTAAAACAGCCAGTGGAAAATTATGCAGCAGGATTTTCTTGAGCACACATGCAATAAATCTTTTTTTTTTCGCAAATGGCGATTATACTCAAGTGTCCCAAGTCACCCAAAAAAACTGACATAAAAGCTCTTTCACTCCCTATGCACATTACACAATGCCGAAAATTAAAAAGAACTCCGAACTCCATTCGAACTGGAATCATTATCGGCAAAGAAACATGTAGAAAGTTTGGATA